AAAAAAGAATCATGGACCCAAGAAAGGCTGTAAGAACTGTTTTACTGGATGCTGCTGGAGTGGCCTCTCTGTTAACTACAGCAGAAACTGTAGTCACAGAAAGCCCTAAAGAAGAAAAGGAGCCTGGAATGGGCGGAATGGGTGGAATGGGAGGTGGTATGGGAGGCGGCATGTTCTAACTTCTAGAATAGTGCTTGACCGTTATTCATGAACTGTGACAGGAAGCCCAAGGCAGTACTCCTCACCCCATAACTGCAGAGAAGTCAGTTGAATTTAAAACAAACAAACAAAAAAAAGTGAAGTAAAGGCTGGCCGATGTTTAAGAAAATCACTGTAACCATCAGTTACTGGTTTCAGTTGACAATATATAATGGTTTACTGCTGTCATTGTCCATGCCTACAGATAATTTATTTTGTAGTTTTGAATAAAAAGACATTTGTACATTCCTGATACTGGGTGCAAAAGCCATGTACCAGTGTACTGCTTTCAATTAAAATCACTGGGGCATTTTTACTACTGTTCTGTTAAAATCAGGATTTTAGTGCTTGTCATCACCAGATGAGAAGTTAAGAAGCAGCCTTTCTGTGGAGAGTAAGAGTAATTGTGTACAAAGTAGAGAAATATCCAATTATGTGACAACTTTTGTGTAATAAAAATTTGTTTAAAGTTAAAAAAAAGTAACCTATTTATGTTTTTAAAAAGAACACCACCTTATGATGTTGATCATTGGTCTAATTTTTTAATTTACTTTTAATCACTATACATCTTTACAGTGCACAAGAGGCTTTTTTCCATCAAGATACAGTGTATATTATTAATCAAGACAAAGATATCACCACATATTTATAATCAACAGAAAACTTTCCATTTTTGTGTCTGTTTAAATGTGTTTGTTTTTTCCTTGATCCCCTCCCTCCCACCCTTATTACCCAGCCTTTATTACCCAGATCTCCTGCAACTTCAGCCAGCCCAAGATCATGGACATACATATGCCCAGTGTACCAGGGAGGTCTCTGGATACAAACCCAGAGCTTTTCTATATGGGTCAACCTCACAGAGAGTCATATTTTGCCACTCTGCCACTGTCTGGCCCCCCAATTTCATTATTTTGCTTGTAGAAATCCAGGGTTTTTATAAGCATTTAATGAAGAGACCATTCTTTCTCCATTGTGGCTTGATGAAAATTAATTGAGTGAATGTTTGGATTTATTTCTGGGCTCTCTATTGTGTTACACTGTTCAATGAGTCTGTTTTTTATACCAGCACCATACTGTTTTCACTACTATTGCTTTGTAGTATAATTTAAAATCAGGAAGTGTGATGCCTCTCACTTTGTTTTCTTTCTCTGGAGTGTTTTGGCTGTTTGGAGTCTTCTATGTTTCCATACAAATTACAGGGTTTTTTTTTTTTTTCTCATTTGTGTTACAAATGGCATAGAGAATGCATTGAATCTGTATATTCCTTTAACATTCTAACATCATTAGTTCTTTCAAACCACAAGTACTAGATATGTTTCCTTTTGTGTCTTCTTTTTTAAAATTTTAATTTCTTTTACACATTAAATCACTATACATCACCACATCTTATAAAGTCAATTTACCCAGCATGAATACACTTCACACCAGTCCAGTTGAAGATACTGTATAAGTTATCACTAACAGATAATCATCCATTCCTGTGTCCTATAAATGTCTTGCCTCTCCCCCCTTCTCCCATCCTGTTCCCACATTCTCTAATACCCATACCCATTTTCCATGCTTTTTTATCCTCTAATCTTTCTATTTACATCATAGAGTACAGAAGGACAGTATATGTTAAGTGGAGAGATATGATGTCTCTCATAGCCATGCTTGCTTCACTCAGCAGTAAATCTTCCATATTCATTCACTTTCTATCAAATGCCAGGCTCTTGTTGTTATTTATGACTGAGTAGTATTCCATAGAGTATATGTGCCACATTTTAAAAATCCATTCATCTGATCATGAACATTTGGGTTGGTTTCATGTCTTAGCAATTGTAAATAATGTTGCAATAAACATAGATGTGCAAGCACTCTTTCAACTGAGTGCTCTGCTATCCTTTGGATAGTAACCCATGAGTGGAATTGCTGTATCATACGGTAATTCTTTTGTAGATCTTAGTCCAGCCACTGCAGAGAACAATATAGATGTTCCTCATCCATTTTCTATCAATATCAGAGTCTGATTGTTTTTTATTACTGAATAAGATGCCACTTTTTTAATCCATTCATCTCTTCATGGACATTTGTGTTTTTTTATTTTAAAAATATTTTATATTTCATTTTCTTTAATATATTCAGTCACATTATCTAGCTTACAAAGTGAA